CGCTCTGCAACCAATCACAAAACAGGATTTCGATGAATTTTGCTTCGTATTATCGGAATCCTGTTTTCTGATTGAATGCAAAGCGTTGTATACGACGAAAATCGGATGCAGTGTGAATCCAGCATTATTGTAGAATGCCTGTTAGGTCGGAATCAGACTACACATTGAAGATTGAGATTGAAGATTGAAGATTAAAATTTGACCAGTGAGGACAAAGGAATTTTAGCTCCTATTGTTTTGATTGGTCAAATTTCAATCTTTCAATCTTCAATCTCAATCTTCAATGCGTAGTCTGATTTCGGCCTTAGGGACGGAATCCATAGTCCAGTCTAATGCGGGATCTACAATAGAAGTCGTAGCAGTCGTAGGGTCTTAAGTTGTAGAAAATTGACCAATCACAGTCGAATATGAAAAGAATAATCGACAGTGATTGGTCAATTTTCTACGATTTAAGACCCTACGACCGTTACGACTTCTATTGTAGACTCCGCATTAATCTCAAGCAATGTCTTAAAATGTTAATACGGCTCTCTGATTGGTTCATGCACTAACTTAAGCTAGAGACCCTTTAATCAGAGACTAACCATAAGTCCGGATCTACAATAGGTGTTTTAAGACTTAAGCCATAAGAAATGGGCGAATCACAGTCGATTATTCCCCTGTTTCGACTGTAATTGGTCAATTTCTACCCTAACAGTTAATTGTAAAATGGCGGAACCAATCAGGAAGGAGAACCAGGATTGGCTTCACTCTCTTTATACCCACTCTAATCATCTCGAATCTTGAGCACCGTCTATGGATTCCGCCCTTAATCTCAGTCGACACAAGTGTCATTCTATCTTTGTCACTCTTTGAATGTCAAGAAAGATAGAATGATGCTTGTGTCGATTTGTGTCATCAAATGGAAAGCAGTGTATGTCATTTTATGTGTGATGGCCCTGTTCGACAGGCTTTATGCATATCATGTGTGACAGGCTTAATTCTCTGTTCCCTATTTCTTTCATTGTGCGCAGCCCCTTATTCCTTTATTCCTAATTTTTTATTCCTTCTATTGTGCGCAGGGCTTGATACTAGCCTCGTTCAGCTGCGTTTGACAGTCGAGAACCAAACGTGAACGGTGGAAGTGTGAGTTTAAAAAGTAATAACAGGTAATAGCGAGGTTCGATATTAAATCGATAGATAAAGAAATAAGCTTTCAATCCTAATTGACAGTTGCGATACACGAGTAACGACGGCGTTCCATTCAAAAGTGCCTGACTTCTGCTGACTTCATAGTCTTCGTACGCGAACAAGTTACGAAGGGTAGGCCTCGAACGCCTGGAATGTTCGGCTACATTTAGCAATACAGAATCCAAGCAACTCGAAGAAGATTATCGAGATGGCCGGCAGGCAATCGTACAGCATTGTGGAGTATTACGCGGAACGCGAGGGCTATCAATGCGGCTACTGCAAAAAACCCAATACGAACTTCAGTCACGGTAAGCGCAGAAACACTGCCATTGATGCACTTTTGCATCTTCGCAGAGCCTCTGATGTTCTCACCTCGCGTCATTTTGACAAACAAGCTACTTACGTTCTTTCTTCGAAAACTTTAAAAAACAAACCGAAACACTGGAGTAAGTTCAAGTTTTATTTTAATAACTCGTCGCTTATTGCATAGGTATGTGGGCGCACTCATTAACAGTACATGATTATCAAAGCTTAATAGATAGGGGATGGAGGCGGAGCGGCTGCTATTGTTATAAACCCATGATGAACCAGACCTGCTGTCCACAATATACCATTAAGTGAGTAACATTTTTTAATTCTAAGTTTTGAGAGAGGAGGGAGGGAGAGAGAGAGGGAGAGAGATGATTTTGCTTAACTGTAAATAATAGATAGAGAATTCAGTCATTTGTATTAAACTAGATTTGATGCATATTAAAAGCTGCTATACATGAAATTAGCATGATTAAATGTAAAAGCATATAAATATTTTAAACAAATACTTAACGATATTGTAATGTTATTTAACAAAATATATGTGTATTATTTTGTTGTCAAAATTGATTATATTAATTCATTGCATTAAAATACTTTAGCTGAGCTTTAAAATTCACTGCTGAAAATCTATAGCACATGTAATGTAAACTTTATATTTTTAGTGCTAGCCGTGAATTTTGGAACGTAGTTTTTGGCTGCTTTCCTTTCAGGTGACACAGTCAACACAAGTATTGTTCTATTTTTGTTATTCATTGAATGTCAAAAAAGGATAAACGATGTTTATGTCAAGTGTGTCTTGTAAAAGGAAAGCAACCTATATAAAGCAGTCTTTAATGTACATTAGATAATTCAGTGTAGTATAAGTAATCAAATTTATCATAATATTTCCGAATTTGAAGGAGATATGATTTTGCTTAATTATGAACGAAACAGAAATTTGACTCGTTTATAAACATAAATGGATAATGGTTTTAGATGCAAGGCCTTAGATTTTAGAATATCAAAGTCTCAGAAAAAGATCTTAAAGCGGATGACTAAATTTTTGAGGAATGAATTAACGAAAGACAATGTTGGAGGTATGAGCGAAGATCAACAAGATGATATAGGTAAAATTTTTAAAATATTTTGATCTGTGTATAATAATGGTTGCATTCAATAGAAAAAACAACTTTATAATTATTGTAAGATTTTTAATCCTTTGTGGTCATGCTTCTTAAAAGTTCTATAATGGTTACACTGGGATTGAAATGATTCAAGAGCACATTTAACAGATTGCCATATTCATTTTTTTTTCTATGAAGTAAAAAGAAATGCTGATTAAATGCACTCTGAGATTATTTTAACCCCAGTGTGATTATAAAGGATTAAATATAATTGGTTCATACATTTAAATTTAGTGAGGAACTAACAACAAAAACCAGTCATTAAGGAATTTTATAATAATTGCTTTTTCTGCTGAACATAACTAGTGACATTCGCGGATAGCTCACTAACTTTATACTATTTATAGACATAAGCAACGAAGAAGCATTAAATTATTCTAAGCATCTGAAGAGAGCGCAGAAAAACCAATCTCAGATCAATGTTTCGTCTGTTGATGATGAAGTCGACGAAAGATTGTCTGTCAATCTAATGAAAACGGGATCTCAAAAGAATTCCACTGTATCAAATAGCAATCAAGTACAGCTAACAAATGCCAACAGCAAAAATAGCCTGCACGTTAGAAATGAGATCGTTGATGTGGTACCTTGCAAAAAGGCGAAGCTCTTACGCATAGAGCGTAAAAAAAGTAAGTTGCTGGCTCAAGGTAAATCGCAGAGTGAAATTGAGAGTATCATGAGAGAAAAGAAGCAACAGAATTGCATTAAAATTGTGGAGGAATTATTCGAGGAAGTGTACACTGGATTGAAAAAGTTGGAGGTAATAATATGACGTCTAATACGACGTAATAATTAAACTCTGAAATTGTTATTACTTATTTTGTCAGACGTTTCCTAATTCTTTGTTGCTTGTGGAATAATATTCTTTCTTATTCATATGTGTCTCAGTATGGTCCTCTTTTCTCCAATTTTTATGAAAGAAAAGTAATAAAACAAATAAAAAGCTTGATTATAATAAATATTTGCTAAATAATGATATTTTATAATGCTGGCTCTATGTCGAACGCTCAACATATTTATACGTTTAATTACATTGCGAAATTAATCTATTATTTTTTCATCACTCGTTTTTCCGATTTGTTTATAAACTAATTACAACTAGTTCACATGTATTTTATAGAGATAATTATTCGCTTCCTTGTCCAGATAGAGTTTTATGTTAAATTATTTACACTTTAAGTTGAGACTGGTTCGAACTGCACCGATGAGTTCCGAATATCGAAAGACTTCGAAAGAATCTTATGAGCTTTATAAAAAATATCAGAACACAATACACGGAGTATCGCCTGAGAAACTCACAGAGCAACGTTACACGAGATTTCTCGTGAAGTCGCCTCTGCAGGTAATTTGTAGATTTAAATTATCTGACAGTCATTTGTTATGCGATAAATTGCACAGAAAGTTATGAGAGGAAATAAAAAAAGTTAAATGAATTTATTTATATAATATATGTTAGCAAAATATACACATCATTTCTCAATATAATCGTCTAGATTTGCAATACATTTTGTACAACGGTTCACAAGGTTTTGGATTTTCCATTTTTCTAATTTCATTTGTGAAGAAGGTTTTTGGTTGTTCTCAAAGCTGAGGGCAACCAAAGGCAATTGAATTTTGCCACTGGCGTACAGGGTTTCCTTTAATAGTCCAAACAAATAGGAACTGGAAGTAGTAAGGTCAGGACTATAGGAATGGGAAAAGCTCAAGTTTCAAGTTATGTTGGAGTTTAGGAAGTGGTGCATATATTTTGACTTTGAGACAAATAAAAATTTTCTTTGCAGATAGAATCAGAAAATTTATGAGCCATTATACAGGGTGTTTCCAAATTAAATGGCAAAACTTCGGGAGCGTGTAGAGGAGTAAAAAACTAAGAAAAAAAGTCCTATAGACATA